CCCCAAAACCCCAAAACCCCAAAACCCCAAAACCCCAAAACCCCAAAACCCCATTATTTTAGATGCAAGTGGAACACCAATATTTTATTTATTAAACCCAGAATGGACTTCAAAGAGAAAGTAGTAGACTCGCTCTTTATAGGGGGTGGCCCAGCCACCCTCGCTATTATATGCAAAGCTATCGAAGACAAGAAGTTAGCATCGCTCATTAAGAGAAATAGTATTGCTATCCTAGAGAAATAGCGGCTCTTTTGGAGGTGGTGAGCTACAGTTCTTTGGAATCAACAGCAATACATCTGCACAAGGGTTTGTAAACTGCATTCCAAAGACAGATAAAGAGAGACTTTTAGCAGTACTGAATCTTAAAAGACCATCTCCAGCTTTTGATAGCCAGATGACAACGAAGCAGTCAGAGAAAGACCATTTTGAAGAAAAGAAATTTAAAGGAAAATAAACAAGTTTGATATCAGATATCTGAAAGTAATCAGCTTGGAACGGAAATTTCTCCAGAATCTGTGCAGGATATTATTCAAGATTCCGACCAGCAAATTTCATTATCTGATAAGTTACCTAGAGAAGAGATAGATAATTTAATGCTGCACTATGAATGGAGGCCAGCTCCATTATCTCTGATAGGGACGTATTTGAATTATGTTGGGAATCAAATTTTGAATAAGATAAATATAATACATAATCAAAAAATTTTCCACCCTTTCACAGAAGTAATCAATATAAAACAGGTATCTTCTGGAGACATTCTCGTCAAGGCAAAATCAACAAGGGATCATGAAAGCAATATAGTCCATTTTAGGGCAAAAAGAGTTGTGCTAGCTAATGGAGGTAAACCTACAATCCCTTCGACTCTTTCTGAAGAAATTCCAAGTGAAAAGTTAATCGTTGCTGATCACTTGCTGAAATAAAGATGGATTTAACTCATTCGTTACTACTCTTAATGATAATCCTGGTAAAAGAAAAATAGTTATTATTGGAGGGTCCCATTCAGGATTCTCAGCTGCATGGATTCTTCTCAATGGCCCTGCTTGTTATAATCATAACAAGGGTCTTGGCAAACTTATTTTTAAGGGAATTATGCCTAAGCAAGTAATCAGATGAGCAGATAAGTTTGGTTGTGGAAGTCAATATTGAGATGCTCCTGTAAGCTCCAATCCTAAACAATCTCAAGCATGTCATTGTTTTGGCACATTTGATACGAGAAAAATCTGGAAATTTGATGAAGCTCAGCAATTACCTCAGTTTTCAGACTCAGAAATCACCATTCTATACAAAGATAAGATTAAAGTGTATTTTCATGACTCGAAAGATGCATATAGATCTGGCTATAAAGCATTTAAAAAGTGAGATATTAAGAAAGAAATATATCCTTTGACTGGCTTGCGAGGAGATGCAAAGAATCTCTACCTCGATGTTATCAAAGGTCGAGAGAAAAGAGTAAGGCTAATGAAGGTCAAAGACTTTAAAACTCAAAAATCTATTATTTCTAAAGCAGACTATGTAATACTATCTTGAGGATATCATACATCTCCTATCCCTATCTTAAACGTTGATGATGAAGAGGTCAAACTTGCTGTTAAAGTGCCAGGAACACAATGAGAAGTAGACTCTCAGTTACGCCTGATGACAGCTGATGGAGGTGTATGAGCCAACATCTTTGGAGTTGGTCTTGCATATCCTGCTCATCTAACTCTCTCTTGTAAAGTTACCAAGAGCTCAAGTAAGTATACTAGAGCAGATGCTTTTCAGATTTATAATAATGCAATTTCTGGCATAATCTTGAAGAATTTGTTGCCTCGATCGAAGAACTCCTTAAAAAATCACTTCTTTTATTCAAAGAGAGTTCCTCAAAAGAAAGAAAGCTTTTCAAAAGAAAGACATTTGAAAAAGAAGCAAGAAAGAATTAACAAGGAATTTATTTATCAAAAATATAGTAAGAATAATCCTCAAGTTTCAGAAAGCTTTAAGAGAACATTTAATAGCACAGAGGAGACAAAGATATCAGAAGGAAAACCAAATCTGAAGCTACCTAAATTTTTCATCAAGAAATCGTTTCCCTCAAATTCAAAGACCCAAGCTAAGAGTTTCGAGGGAGAAGAGCAGATCACTCTATCAAGAAAAGGAGAAGGCACCAACATGAAGGAATTCATTCAAAATTACATTAAAGGAAATCCTAATCAAAGGCTGAATTCTAGCCTTGAAACCAAGTGTAGAAGGAATCTCAGGATCTGTGATGAAAATATGAAACAAAGAGGTCATAAAATACCTCTAATGACACCAGAAAGAATTCATATGCCAACTTCTCTACCTGTATGTCCCTCTCAGAAGGTCAAGCCATCTATGGAGCAACCCAAATTTGCGTTGCCAAAGAAAGTTCTGGGTTACCTAAAATTCAATGGAAAAAATCAGCCCTTAAACCGCACGAGAGTCAAAAGAATGCAAGGATTTATGCAAAATAAAAAATTTGTGCAATATATCCTTGCTAATAATCCTCCACAGAAGTTTATGAATAAAAGGAAGAACAGGGCTAAAACTCTTGCTCGACCAAGGGTAGATTAGCCAGGCTAGGTTTTTATGGAGACTATCTCACAGTGTCAAAAAATGTAAGGATGATTACCCTGACTCTAATAAACTCCAATATGAGTTATAAAGCGTATCTTAATTTCCAGAAGATTTTGTACCAAAGGGGTTTTGGGGTTTTGGGGTTTTGGGGTTTTGGGG